GCAAAATGCCGTTTTAGATAATTTCATTTGGCATGCCTTTGTGTGTCAGATTTAGATTCAAACAGCACAAGTAACAATGACTAACTGATGTGTTCTAGCTCAGCAGAGGGTTAAGGGGATGGGGTCAAAGCATGTGTCACACATGCATCCCTAATAAGAAGCAAGCACAATAAAATGTCACCAGAAGGAATGTCTAAAGACCCTCGCCCCCTCCCCCTGTCAACCCCTCATATCAACTCTCACTGAGAGTTGCCCAAGTTTGATCGATAGCAGCTCCTTTGGCTCCTGTCTGACAATTGGCCTCAAACCCCAATCTACATATGACTGAATGCGACAATCTCTCTGTGCACATGTGTGTGTGTGTGTGTGTGTGTGTGTGCGTGTGTGTATGGTCGTTCCAGCGGGCACATAAAGAGCTGGTTAAATTAATAAGAAGCCAACTAGTCGAGCGCAGTACCCTGGCTATATAACAAGTGGGCGTTTTGGGGCGTTACCCGCTTCACTGGTGGTATAATTAAAGTCCAACGCTTGCATAATTTATCTTTATTGGTGGCTGGCTTCGGGCTGCTAGTTCCCTTGCTTAAAGGCCCCAATCGACTCAGCTATAAAATCATAAAATAGTTTCTTGACTGACTTTTGGATTGGGTTGAATACATTTTTTTTTTTTTGCTTCTGCTTTCATTTTTTCAGCAATGTACTTTTTTGGCATAGCTCACAAAACACACAGCTGCTCATAAAACCCGAATCGTATTTAAATTTAACGAGCTGCATCCTTATCAGCAATAAAAGATACATTAATGCATATCAAATTTCCGTATAAATATCTTCATCATGCTCGCCTATATATAGAACGAAAGCAGAAAAAATGTATTTAAAAAACTATATATTTCACTTTATAAACTTTGATTAGGAATAAGTCGCAACAAAGCAATAATTAGTTATATATATATATATATATATAAGAGCTGAACGAGCTATTTTAATTAAAAAATTAATAATAAATAATATAAAACTTTTCTTTATATTCTCCATCTAAAGTTTAAGGATTTGATGGTAGAAATATAACCATGGCAATAAATCACACGAGAAAATGTAAACCGTAAGTAGCCTGACTAAATATTAAGAACTTGCTGAAGTCATTTGGAAAATTGCAATCAACACAAATCATACTTGCATTGAATTGAAGATGACAACTATTTCGATTTACATATTACTAATAAATCAGTAAAATTGCATATATTTAAGTAGTATTTATAATAGACAATGGCTTAGTTAAATCTAATTCCATTACACAATCGTGGCAAACACAGAAAACAACTCATTTGGGGGGGGGGGGGTGATGGCTGATAACAATTTGGCTGGGATATGTAAATAAACATTTTAAATTGAATTTTAAATTGTGTCAACATAATGGGTCAAAATATTGTATTATGATGATAAATTGATAAATTTGCGAATCAAAATTACATATTACGGCAAAATAAAGCTCATTTTGTGGGCAGTCATGTAAGCCAACGTTGTTAACAACAGCAACAACAGCAGCAACAACAAAATACACAATCAAATTGTGATATTTGAATGTACGTCACACACACACACACATATATATATATATATATATATATATTTATAAATATGCATATGCAAACACACAGAGTTGGTGCCACGCAATATTCAACTACGAAATTCATGACTATTCATGCTTGCTGCCTGTCTTTAACACAAACTGGCGTAATATGCCACCCTCACCCACCTCAAAAAATATGTATTTCAACTATTTAAGTTTTGAGGTTGTTGTTTGTGTTATTGTTATTGTTATTTATATTGTCTGTCGTATACGTAATATCATTTAATTAAATGCACGCACTGACTGCGCACCAAAAGCTGAACATTTTCCAAAAATTGACACGAGTGGAAAATTGAAGGCCGCGTCACTGGCATAAGTAGTTGTGTTTGGTCGAGAAATTACTCAGTCATGTCCTTAATGCATAACCAGCGCTAGAGGGACGTGATGTCATCAATAGCTTGACTCGCGCCTTTGTGCGTCTTTTAACCGTATACACGTAAATGTGCACATACGTATATCTGATGCCAGAGGTCAGAGTATGTGTAGGTTCTTTTGTTTCAGTGCAGACATTTAAAAGGCCTTTTATTTAATAAATAAAGCGCACATATATTCGTTTGCCCAGAGGCCAAAACGGTTAAGACAAAAGCGTTGCGAGCGAGCACAAAAAAATGCTACGTATACACAATATTACACATACGCACACATAAATAGCACAGAGCTACTTTAATATGCATATGCGTGGATTGGAGTGTGTGTGTGATAGATGTCTGTAAGTGTGTGTGTGTGTGTGTGCATGTGTGCGTGTGTTATTCGTTCATGGTTGTTGTTGCTGCAGCATTGCGTTGCCATAATGAGTTTGCCTTTGATTTGGGCCAACGCGAATAAGGCTCAAGCCATCCAGGAAGCCGCTGCCTCCACATATCCTTCTGCCTCTCCCTCTCCCTTTCCCTCTCCCTACCGCCCCCCTCTTCCCATCCACTAGGCTTGTCATAATTTATGCGCAGCCAATGCTCAATTTGATAGGCAACAGCCTGCGACATTCAAACCATTTGTGTGTACGGCCAGCATATTGTACTGGTAATGCCAGCTGAGCTGAGCTAACTATATACCACATATAGCATATAGCAAATACATATATTCTATATGTGTATATGCATATGTATTTACCTTAAAGTTGAGTCTGACACGATATGAACGTCGAATAAATATGTATGTTGATAATATTGAATATGTTGACAAAATCACAGATAATTTAATTACAAATTGTTATTGTGTTTTTTTTTATTTTTATTATTTTTTTGTTTATTTTTATTTTTGTTTATTAAATGCTCGCATCGTTGAAGTAATGCACTTGTTCGAACCAATTTGTAATTACAAATGACAGCGTATTTTATTTGTTTTTAATCGAAGAGAGGCAGCCAAAAAAAAAAAAGAAAAAAAACCAACAAACCGTATTCGTATCTGTGTTCAACAGTTGCGGCAACTAGCAATTGTTAAGGGTTGGCTCCCGCTGAGCGCAATTAATTTTCGCGTTCACACCACATGCATTTTGTGGCGCGTTGTGCAATTGATTGATTTTCATTTGAACAAAACTCACTATAGATTTTCGCTGGCTAGTTGGCAGTTGGCAGTGCGATTTAAATTTCTCATCTTCAACTTGAACTATTTCCTTCTTTTTTTTCTTTTTTGGTTCCTACTTTTGGTCCACACGAAAGTTTTTGCACAAAACCCGGCGACGACGACGACGACGACGATGGCAGTTCAAATTTGATACTTTTGATATGACAGACGCGAACTGGACACACGTAGGACAATGAGCACCGCAACAACAACATCTACTATATATATAACAATAATAACAACAACAACGACGACGACGACGACGACGATGGCAACGAACAACGGCAACAAACTGGACGACAGCTGCGAGCCTGCCAAACTAATTGCAAATATTTGCTCAGCGTGCAAACACAAATTTGTTTTCCTATTTCCTTGTTTTTTTGTCCACTGTTTGGTTTTTTACGCGACGTTCTCCTTCTTTTTTTTTTGTTGTAGTAGTAACCCGGGCCTGGTGGAGGCGTGTTGGTTGGGGATTTGTTTGCAATTTGCTTGGCTATGGGTAATACTCGACAATTACGCTTATTAATTTTTGCACAAAATCTGTTTAGTTAACTGCACGCGATATGCAACAAGAACAACAATGTGGAACAAGAACAACAATCACCGGCACGAATATTGCTCATTGATATGCTGTGATATGTTCAGCTTTGATATGGTTGTAGGTGGTTGCTGTTTGCTGGTGGTTGCTGGTCGCTGGTTGCTGGACAACTACCAATATCAAATTATTGGTAGCTAAGTGTGTGGTCGCAATTTCAAACGTTTGCGCCATCTTGCCTTCATCTTTGAGCGCATAATTGAATTTTAATTGACTCGACTTTGTTTTGGGTTTGGGTTGTTTGGGTTGTTTGTGTTTCACGTAGACATATTACGCAAACAAATACATACTTCATTTAGGCATAAATCACTTTCGTTTCTTTTCTGCGGCTAAACTCGCACAATGGCTTCATTTACGCCTGACTTTGGCTCACACACACACACCAACACACGCACACGGAACGGCAACGAACTACTGCAGCCGAGGATGAGGACGAGGTACGAGAGACAGGACTCGGACCGAGCGAACCGAGCTTGGGGCGCGATTTCAGCGTGGCTCTGACTGTGGTTCTGTCTGTGGCCGTGTGTAAAAAATGCAACAGCTTCGACTCAGCCGTACGCACATGTTAACTGTTTGCGGCACCGAACGCGACTGAAAAGGTAAACGCACTCGTCTCGGCCAGGCCCAAAACGTAAGCCAAAATCACAGCAGCAACATGGAGCACACCAAAGGACGACATACACACACACACACAGAAGTCGTGTGCCTCAGACAATACAAAAGCACTTCGTCCTCAACGAGCGCTGAATAAAGCACACACAGAGTGAGAGAGAGAAAAAGAGAGAGAGAGAGAGCCTTGAGTGAAATCTGCGTATGAGTTCTTTCCAGTTGAGCGAAACAGCGAACACTGAGTGAAACGAAATGTAAGCTGCCAAATATGTCCGCTTCGTGTTAAAGTGGCGCCGTGTTGAAATTACCTAGGTGTGTTGAAAAGCTCTTGCTGAAAGCTATTTCAACACAGGTTCAAGCAGGCACTTGCTGAGTACTTTTACGAGTACTTTTACATTTACAGCATTGCACAAGAATTCAAGTACAAATTTAAGTGCAGCAGATGGTTTTTGTTTTGCTTCTGATGTGCCGCCTTTTTAAAAATACCCCAAAATAAATTGACTAACAGTAATAGGTAGACATGTGTGCTGCCCTTTTGCATCTGCTACAATAATTATTATGAAACAAATGAAAGAAAAGTGCGTCAAATTGGGCGCCGTTTGAACTCACCTCAAAATGGCCACCGATTATAGAGCCAGCCTGGCCAATGTACAAAGTGGATGCGGACTCAAAGGCGAGTACAAAGGGATCTCGAACCACAGCCGTCGTGTTGCGCACCTTGCAGTCGTAGTAGAAGACCACCTTGTCGTTGTACACCTGGAATGCAATCGAGTTCCATTTGTCCGTCACATGGTCAACCGCAAAGCTGGCCAGCTTGCGTCCCGGACTGTGATCGGGCAGTGCGTAGACCAGTGTCACATTGTAACTGTTCTTCACCACCGGCGACAGATGGACGCCCAGCTGCACGACAGTGTCCAGTGGATTCACCACGCTGAATAGATAGCCACCCTTGAGGGAGCCCTGGCGATAAGTGATTAATATGGCAAACTCGTACAGTTTCTCGGGCAGCAACATTTGATACGGCGATTTCACATCGGCTGTGGACAGAAACTTGAAGGCCGGAAAACCATCCTCGCCGTCCGCAAACTCAATGCCTGTGTTCGCATCGGTCATTATGTCCGTCAGCATATATTCACCCAGTGCATCTGTGAGGAATGTGAAATATTGAACAAAAAAAGATTGAATTAGAGAAAGTAAATATCTACCCCCATTTACATTAGTGCGATTATATTATTCACAACCCTAAAGGTATGCTCTACTAAAACTCGGCCCGAGTATTATTAATACCAGCCTAAAAGCATGCAACGATTTTACTCAACTTTCTTGTGCTTGATACTCACCTTTAATGCCTTGGCCCACAAATTCAAGGGCACCCAGAACCGGAGCTAAATACGGCAAAACCAGCCAAACGATGAGCAGAATGCAACGCATTTTGGACTAGAATACTGCAAAAGGAAAAAAAGAATTATATCGATTACAACATTTATTTTTGACTTATGTGAGCAATTATGTTATATAATAAATATTACAAAATCAATATGATTTTTCACAAGGGACAGTTTAAGTCTATTGTAGGCATCCCAAAAACCATACCGTGTCTAATTTACCTGCCTACCACTGAGGTAAGTTTAAGCAACCGCAGACACTTTATCTATCACCGGCAATCATTGGTAATACGAGACCCCGTTAACCCGCGGGGAAGCGGCCCAAACAAGTCACGTGCTGAGCGGACGGTCTGCAAATCTGCAGACTGCACATGCAATTACAAATTGTGGGTGGGCGTTGCAGGGTGGTGCCTCATTGTCAACCACACCTGTGGCACAGCCCATCGACATGCACCACAATCACCCCCCGTTGACAAAAGGAGGACTCAAGCTGGAAGCCACACAATTTTGTGGTCGTTTACAAAATTGTGTGAGGCGAACAATAAAACAAGAACAAAACATCAACTTCCATACATATATCTAGATGTATATATGAGTGGCACTCAAGCCTATGCCGAGAGTAATCACTATTCGATGTACTGCTGATGGATGGCCGGATTCGTCAGATTTTATTTATACCTTGTGCTAAGATAAGCAAACAAGTTGTTAGGACCCGCCCAGAGTGAAGAGTTCATGAAAATAAAAATGAAAAATAATCAAAATGTCAGAAGATCAAGCAACAAATTGCCCATAAACTGAATTTGTCAACATTGTGTCGAAATAAAAGTGTACTTGTGCACCAAACTTAATAAATCATTTTATTGGGCTGGGCACATTTTGGTAATTACATATTCCAGCTGCTGATATTCAAATTGAAATTGTCAACACACTCCAAGCATGCTTTTGCTACTTACTTAATTCAGGCCCATTATCGAATCGAATTAATGTACATCATTTCACACACACACACACACACACACACACACACACACACACACACACAATAAAACTCTTTAAGCATACATAAGCTTGTTGCTGACCTCAAATTGTCTCTGGATTCAGGCAAACAATTAATATTTATCAAGTTTACATGACGAGAACAAGAGCAATACATAAGCACTATTCACTTATACGCATGAATACCCACTCACCAAATGAATACTATGCTGAACACGCATGAATAACTGACAACGGGTTGTGTTCAATGGATTGGGGGAGGTGATGGAGGGGCTGGGTGGAGAGGCGAATTCACTTTCACACATATTGCGTTTGTCTATGCAAATGACTTTCAATTGTGAGGAGCATGAAGTAAAAGTGTTTTATTCTATTAATTAAGCACACATTTATTTGATAACATTCAGCTGATGCCAATTTCGTGAGTGTTCGCCCAAATTCAGATGTGTTGACAGTGAATAATGATCAAATTGACTTGTATTCCAAAAATTGTCAAATGTGTTTAATTGACAACTCAAACAAAAAGTCAAAATAAAATAAAATGACAAGCAACATCGTAATCTGAAGCCGTTCAAGTAAATACGTTAATTATTAGTACCGACCTACATTCAGTTATTGAATTGCGTATACGTATTTATTAAGGTTTTTTATTAACATCTTAATATCTTAAACTACATAAATATGTAAAGCATACCAAGTTTGTTCATTTAAAACATAGAATGTAATTAAATAGCAGAGTTCTAAACTTTCGACTTAATTGCTATGTTTTCATCTTTGGACAAACATAATATGACAATAAATGTATATCTAAAATAGATCAAGTCGAAGGAGCGCGAAACAAATGATAGAAGCTCGTAAATTCGACACTTGCCAGCCAAACAGTCTATGAATTTTAAGCGGCTTTTGTGCGAGTCTGTTGTAAGCAGGCACCACCAACTCTTAAAGAGTTCTAAACTTGGATTAGTCACAGATAATGAGGCAACTTTTATGCAATGCACAGTCAAATACCGCCCAGGCATGCATATGTCTTTTGGCACCCAAAATTGCCAACAACAGCAGCGCTGTCGAACAGCTCAGATGCGAGGCAGGGCAAATGTTTTAGGATGGATCGCACGTAACTCCGATTAGTAGGGCCTAACCCACAAATGGCGGCAGCAGCGACAGCAGCCCAAGCAGCTGATAAGGCGTGGCCAATAATACTTGCTAGTTTCGTTGCCAACGGAAAACACAATCAAAATATTACTCTCGTAAATTTATGAATCATTATGATTTTCCGCCGTGTGTGTGTTCTTTTGATATATTGTATCTGATTTATGGCGTCTACCATACGCAATACGTCAACCAAATTTGAACGAAAATCAAAAGTACAACTGCTGGATTTGAAAATCAAAATAGATGATTTCCAATATCGGAAACTGAAAGTCGTAAAAATCGACGCACTTTCACATCAAATCCGAAAGTCGTCAGAGCGTTGCATGCTTGAGGAAGACCTAAGAATGGTAAGCAGACGAGAGGCGAGAAAAGAAAATCGAATAAAAATTTATTTTGAGTAGTAAATCGGCTCAATATGACTGCGGGCCAACTGAAAGGGCGTTTGTCTCTCTCTGTGTGTGTGTGTGTTTGTGGAGGGGGAGGTGGGAGGAGGGAGGTGGGGCTGGGCAAATGTGTGCCAGTATGTCAAACCAAGCAGCAGCAGCAGCAGCAACCCCTTGCCCTTTCTTTCGACTGCTGCTGTGAGTTGTTGCCCCTTAAGTGAACTATTAGCTCTGTTGATTTTATATTTTCCAATTTGTTGTGCTACGCTCAGCAACAGCTGTTCGATGGTGGGGGTTTGGGGATGGCTCGTGGTGTGGTGGGGGCTAAGCCCAACGACAAGGGTGCAAAAAAAATAAAAATAAAAATAAATAAAATAAAAAATAAACACGCCGTCATTTTATTCGTCGCTTTGTTAACGTTTATTGCTCTTATTTGGCCACCCCAGTCGCAATTCGTTTTGTTTGATTTAAAGGATTTGCATGCCAAATTTGACTTTATTTGTTTTCGCTTTCATTTTGCAGGGGGGCCTACACATGGCCTGCCTGGCCAGACATCAACAAGTTTGACACTTGGCACATGCTTCTCTGACTGTTTTGCATGTTAACAATTTAAGTGCCTCCATTCAAGGTGGAAATGTTTTCCAAAGAGCTTTGCATAAATAAGGCGGCCTTAAGCCGGTCAATAGCCGGCAGTGGAGCGACGAGTGCAGCGAAACGAGTTAGTTGCGACATCCCAATCAGATCATCAACCCGCATACAAAGGGCATACCCAGGTCCCCGAACCAGGTCCATGCTGGGATCCAACTGTTGCACGCAATCATAAACTTGCACTATGTCAATCTGAATAACGATAACAGCAAAAATAATAATAACAACAACAGAAAAACAATGTGTAACTTGATATATGCACAAATGTGTACACGTTAAGAGCGTTTTAAAATCAAAATAAAAGCTGGACAACGAAAATGTTAATATATAATTAATGCCTTGCTGTAATACGCTCATAATCGTTAACATAAATTGAAGAAGTCTACGGTCAAACTGAAAACAGATGTTCAACAAAGAAACCTATTCGAAAGGCTGCTAAAAATTGCTAAAATGTATTTGATTTGATTCGTTTATTATGTGATATATTTTACAATGTGTATTTTACTTGCGCCGGTTCAATACAATTTAATTCTCAAATATATATTGCCTCAAGTACAACGCAGCTGCTCGAAATAAATAATCGCAGATCAAAAGCTATAGCATAATCACACCCACGCATGCCAATGGCATAATCGTTTTACTTTAGTGCAAGTCAGATTTATTGTGGGTTCTTCACTTGTGCAATTTATTATTTTTTATTATTTCGCCATACCGCCTAAGTTTAATTCTGTATACTGATTCAATGACTCAATTCACACACACCTCGTGTGTATAATTATGTAGCACACTGTATGCTTATATATATATATATATATTTATATATATTTCGATAGATTTATTTACGTCAAATAAAGTTTCTCGTATTTGCCTCTGCATTTTTAATAAGCGCATATTGCCATTTTTATTGCAAGTGTGTTAATTAATTTTGGGAATGATGACCTATATTTGTTGCAGCAACATAAAAACAAAATAAGACGTCCGTTTATTTAGCTAACAATATAAATCACTGGAAATGAGATAGAATCCCACAATGCAAAGCTGGCGCACAAAATTAAGTTATAAACACAGCGCCGAAAATGGCACGCTCTCGACACTATATCCAGAGACCAGTCTAGAGATTTGTGGCTGCATTTTGGTAATTAGCCGCATACCAAACTACACTTGCAGCAGCAGCAGCAGCAGCAGCAGCAGCAGCAACAGCAGCAGTAGCCATGTATATGCATGTTTTCCCCTTTTCAGCTTTCCCTTGCTGTGTAAACGCAACAGCTGCCACCAGCAACAGGCAACCCAGTCCAAACTCTGTCGTCATCGTCATCGCTGTCTGCAGCCTGTTGCCCGATGGCGATTTAAATAATCTTCAAGCGTCGAGTACTTCTCATATTGCACTTAGTGCTGTGGGTCGTCGTCGTCGTCCCGGCCACCAGTGGCAGCAGCCATGTGCAACACGTTGTCGCAACCAAAAACAGCTCTGAAGATCTTCATTGAGTTCGTTGCGGTGCGGCCCAATAGGAAAAGGGTAAGAGAAAGAGAAAGGATTGGTTATGAGGGGCATATTGGATGGATGAGTATCCAGGCACAGTGGCTCTCATCGATGATGATGAATGGGGTGTGTGCCGAGTCATCATCATGTTCTTTATTGCTGTCATTATAATGTGCTGTTGTTGTTGTTGTTGTTGTTGCTGCTGCTGTTATTTATAGTCTTTGTTGCGTTGCCAATTGCATGTTGCCTTTTGGATTATATTTTGGGTTTTATTTCTGTTTTTCCTGTTTTTTTTTTGTAATGTTTGGAATCGGCATATATCAGAATTTTGGGTAACTGAACTCTCACTCTTTTCGTTTAAGTCGGAGAGTGCGTTGACTTGGCCCAACACAAGTTCTTACTGC